AACAATGATTCGTAAATTTATATACCACGAAGACACGATAAGAATAAACAGGTATAGTCTGCAATTGTTGGGCTTTAAAGGTTTCACAAGTGACCCATATTAGCTTTTAACAAGGATTCGTAAATTTATATATCAATTATTTTAGAGCCCAAATGCCTGTACGACTACGCACTAGAGTCAGCATCATCGTCAACTTCTGAGACACCATGTTCATGGTTTGGTAGCCCACTAAAGGATCATTGCAATAGTTTTTTCAATATCAATTAAATATATTTCTTTGGTCTTCTACCAAATGAATCCGAAATGAAACGAGAGTACCATACTCCCTCAATGTATGAAACCAACCATGGCCCATCTTTTAATGTACAAGTTTCGTGTTGGAAAACTTCTTAATTGTATTTCCCCAGATTTTTCCCCGCTCTTATATTTTGTAAGCTTGATTTCAGAAGACCTTCTTCACTGTTCCATTTGTAAAAAATACGACTTTCATTTACTCTGATAAAATTTCATACATATTAAGCTTCAATAACGTACTGGTATGGATAAACTAATGGATTCGTTAAAATCGGAGTTATAAGAAACTTATTATACAAAATTAATGATTTGATACTATGTCTTGAGCAACATAAGACATAGAATAAACTGAGAACCTGTCTCAGACTTGTAAATTAACAAGTGATTTACCCACTCACATTTCAAGCTAAAGTCATTGTATACATTTGTAATATTCAAAATTCATTGAAACATTCCAAAAATAAAACATCTTAGAACGGTACTTTGAAGCAATCATATTAAACTAGAACATTCTGAAGACTTTAATTGATCAAAGAACAAATTTGCATAAAAATTGGATAGGAATCCTCATCTCAGGCTCATGCATCACACTTAATTGACCCTATAAATAAATAAATTGAGTGACGATCGAGTGACGTTTAGAGTAGTCTTAAAGTTGACGGTAGGTGCTGTTGACTAGCTGGCTTCTCTCTGGTCTATCAGCTCAAAACTAAGGATGGCAAGTGCAAACGGCCTTTGTGCAACTTCGTACGAATATCAGGAACCATGATCGCGTATCTGAATTCCCGGAAGATTAAAAGAAACAGGGGAAAGTAGAAAATCTTGGCACGATTGACGGAATCGTTCGATTTTACAGTTAAACGCCTCAGTTCTTACGGCCTGTTGATTAGGGCGTTTGATTCCCAATCTGATGGTTGCCAGATCGAAACCCATCGTCGAACATGCTCGCCCTTTCAGTCGTATGGGCATTGCATTGTGACGGTTAATCTCGCTTTTCTTCAGTAATGTGTATCTCAAGATGTGGGCGGTGTTGACTCGCTCTCTTCCCTCCAGTCTATCATTTCCAAATTAGGAACAGCTCGAGCAGGTAGCCTTCGATTAGTTTTGTGCGTAATCTAACAAAAAAAAAACACTCTTTTGACAAAGCCATGCAGTGCAGCAATAAGAGTGCATTCGGATGGCCTGTTATCGAACGGAAACTAATAGGTGTTAAATAAAAGTTACTGACAGAATGAGGCCAGATCTTAAAGACGCCGTAGACTGACGGTCTGATTTTGATTTAGAAGTTCTAATAAAAGTGTTTATCCGCACTTTTAGCGAGAACGCATTCAGCCTTGATATAACGTGGAGACTAGGACGTGGCAAGATAGTATGATAAAGAATAAGAAAAAACGCTGTTAGTTCAACGGTAAAAATGAAAGATGTTCAGTAAGTACTTTTATTATTCTTGAAATTGGTTAATAAAGATGTGATAAGACTATGTAGGGGTAAAGACTGACACACGAGGAAATGATTAAAACAACTACAAAGAATAAGTTGGAAGACAGTTTCATAATAGTAAGGTGCTATATAATTCTAGCTTTAATCTGAAATTAATTTCTTTAATCTCACAAGTTAAGGAATTTATCACCTGGTGATTGATTTTACAAGTTAAGGAATTTATCACCTGGTGATTGATTTTACAAGTTAAGGAATTTATCACCTGGTGGTTGATTTTACAAGTTAAGGACTTTATCACCTGTTGATTGATTTTACAAGTTAAGGCTGTTATCACCTGGTGTTTGATTTTACATGTTAAGGACTTTATCAGCTGTTGATTGATATTACAAGTTAAGGCTGTTATCACCTGGTGTTTGATTTTACATGTTAAGGACTTTATCACCCTGTGATTGATCTCACAGGTTAAGGACTTTATCACCTGGTGATTAATCTCACAAGTTATGGACTTTATCACATTTGAAGTTTCCGTTTAACTATCTTTAGGGTCGGAAATTAAGGCGAATTTAGCATACAGATTAAATGTAAAATTAATTGTTCACTATAAATGTCTTTGTATTCTTAATTTTATGTATTTACCTAATTTTAATGAATCACTAATTCCTTTTTGCCAAAGAACGTCCAAGTTGTAATAGGGCCTCTTTATTATCTTAAAAGCACCAGTCAGAAATTTAATCAGATTCAAGAACGAAGCATCGAGGAGATAAAAGATGACGTTGAGTGCGTATTTTTAAATCGAGTTGTGTAAACGTTTTCATCAATTCGATCACGTTCTCATTGAGCACGATGCTGATTCCAACAACAAATTAAAAGTAATACAGCGTATTCATGAAAGAACATCAGGGTTACTGAATCGAGGTGTTTGACACTAATTCGTGAGAAGCTCGACTTCACATCGCTTGAAAGAAAAACAAAACGAGTAAAGAAATACTTCGGTATCTTTCTCAATGAGTTTGTTTGATGTTAGGCACAATGGGATATCCGTGCTGGGCCCACCACGAGTATCGAAACCCGGATTTTAGCGGTGTGCGCCCTCAGATTTACCGCTGAGGGTGGGCATAGCAATATGTAATTCACTTTGGCGACAATGTAATTTGCAGATATACGCGTGTATGCATTTATTATGACAAACTGCACGAAGATGTTACTTCAAAAAACACACTTAGAGCCATTTCAATTTAATGTTTGTGCTTGCATGGATATTTGGATTCAATGCGTATGTTCCATTCTATGATTTCATGTATGAAGCGCCTCACAAACAAATAAAACTCCAATAGAACACGTGCTCTAATAATTACTGGTAAGAAAATAACTGAAATCAGACGATTCAAATTTATTAATATTGATTATGTCCCCAAGTGTTATAAATATTAAACTCACCAAAGGGGGTAATCTCTGACAGACGAAGAGCATATTTATTCACCAACCAATTGAAAATTACAATGTACAATTTTCATTATTTAATATTGACCCAAGTGTTATAAATATTAAACTCACCAAAGGGGGTAATCTCTGACAGACGAAGAGCATATTTATTCACCAACCAATTGAAAATTGCAATGTACAATTTTCATTATTTAATATTGACCCAAGTGTTATAAATATTAAACTCACCAAAGGGGGTAATCTCTGACAGACGAAGAGCATATTTATTCATCAACCAATTGAAAATTACAATGTACAATTTTCATTATTTAATATTGACAAACTTATAACAAATACTACTGGGAATAAACAGTAGCGT